AACCCCCCCCCCCCCCCCCCCCCCCCCTCATCAATTGAGTGCATCGTCCCCCCGCCCGTTATTTTGGTGGGTATCATCATCAGTATAGTCCGTTGGTCGCCTGTGCAGCTTTTTATGGGGACAGCACTTAATCTTAGCACAACGGCTGGTATTCTTTGCCCACCGCAGATTTGTGATTGCGGAGTTGTGTAACTACTGTGGGCGAGGAATGGTTTTCATCCGAATGACGCGGGGGGGGAGGTCGCACCCAACCTCGTGGGATTCGCTATTTATCAAGACCGGCCTTTGTGACCCCTGCATTTGGAATCCCTTCGTGCTGTCGCCTCTACTTGAGATGTTTGACAAGGTTGCGCAACTCATACCTGTTAAACAATTGCAGTGCACTCTGTCGAAAACGCGGAATCGTATCGGCAGTGACGGAAGGCCTTTCTATTGCACACGTTTTTGACGCCTAGAACCCTTCGGCCATGTCTTCGGTGTTGCTGGCGCCACGTCGGTCAGGTGCCGCGTCTCGTTTCCCTGCTGGCGGAGTCGTTCAATGCGCATATGCGCTTCGGTTCCTGTCTGGCTATTGGTATCAGCTGCGCCGGGACCGGGTCTCGCGAGGCTATGGACGTGCTCGAGCCCATGATGGAGGACGTGGTCGACTTCGTTCGACAGGTAATTATCTTAACGTGGAACACACTGCTGGCCGAAGAGTACTATGCGGACGTTTGAGTTGTTATTCCGTCTCTCGTTGTTTGGTTTTGTAGGCCTGACTGCTCTACTGTTGTCCAACCCGGCAGTAAGTGCTTTGGCCCTTGGTAGATATGTGCATCTGCTCCACTTCGAGTTACTCTAGAGGTGTGAACTCACAACTTCTCGACTTCTCACGGACCAACGCGCCGCTTCGATGAACCCCGTTTGTTCTAGGGCGCGCTGATTGCCATGGCGATGGTGCTGATGCAGCAGTCGGAGGCGCGTATCCCCAAGGTCAAGGCCTTCCGCGCCAAGCTCACTAGCGTGATTTCGGATAAACACCAGAGCACAATGACCAAGATGGGAGCCATCATGGCCAGCGGCATCATGGAGGCCGGGGGGCGCAACGTGACGATCACCATGCAGTCTCGCGCCGGGTTCACCAAGATGTCCTCGGTGGTAGGCCTCGCAGTGTGGTGCCAGTACTGGTACTGGTATCCTCTGATGCACTTCCTGCCTCTGGCCTTCACGCCTACGACTCACATAGGGCTCAACAAAGACTTCAAGATGCCGAACGATTACGAGGCGACGTGCGACGCCCGCCCAAGCCAGTTTGCGTACCCCAAGAAACTCGAGGAGAAGAAGGAGGAAAAGAAGGAGCGAGTCACGACGGTCACACTCAGCACCACCGCGAAGGCCAAAGCTCGCGAGGCTCGCAAAGAGCACAACACAAAGAAAGAGGATGGCGATGCGCCTACTGCCGACATGGAGATCCAAGGGGACGAAGCCGGCGTCGAGGAGAAGAAAGGAACTGAGGGGGACGAGAAGGAAGCGGGGGAGAAGCCGGAGGCACCCAAACCCAAGAAGGAGCCTGAGCCAACAAGCTTTAAGATCAAGAACCCGGCACGCGTTACCCCCTCTCAAGAGCCGTTCGTGCACTTCGATATGGAGCAAAGGTGCTGCTGAGACGCGTGTAACTGTGCACTCCTTTGGACGTACAACTCTTCTATTTAAGGCAGACGGTAGTGACCAGTAGTGTTCGGACTAGGCTATTGCTGTACTTTGTTTCACGCGGTATCCAACCTGACCTTAACTCCCATCCATGGCGGCCCTCGAACTAATGGACGTTTTTTAGGTACGTGCCGGTGCGAAAAACGGGGAAGCCACTCGGCATTATCATGCTTTTGGATCGCACGCCCGATGAACCAGAGGATGTAGCCTTGGTCGAGGCTCCTTCGACTGATCCCGATGGGGAAGAAGCTGACCCACCGGAGCCCTTCGAGTGGACCCCTGGCGGCGTAGGCAAGCCTATCCCTGCTACGGGTTCGTAGGGCGTGGCAGTCGGGGCATTTTCGGTGCCGGCGTAGTTTAGACACTAGAATATGATCGCATTGCAGCGGTTGCGACGTTGCAACACGGACTTGAGTTTGCTGTTGGTTTGTCTTCTTCGTCAAGCCACGGTGCTGGCCTTTTGTACTGTAGGAATGGACAAGACTACTTATATGCATATGTTTTTTCTACATGCTACGGAACAGACGCTCAAGCACAACTCTCAAGCACAGGAACCGCGCGACACATTCTTACCGCACAGCCTAGCGTCTCCCGTTCAAGCTACCCAATTTGTCACATGTATGATTTCGTTGGTGAAGTGCACGCGTAGAAGTTTTTCACAGCCCCCGACATTGTGAAATACATTCTCTGGTTTCCCAGCCTGGCTGCACATACTAATAGCTTCGGGCACACGACCTTTTCGACTGGGGGATGGGGAACAAGGTACCAGATCCCAAGTTTCTGTGCCAGCCCACATTTGAACCTCTGCAAACGATGCGCCTGTGTTCAGAGTCGGGAGACTCTGCAGCATCCTTCCACAACACAACCATGCGAGGGTGCATCACATCAATCGATACCCGAAAGCAAGCACCTACATCCTCAATTTGTTGCAGCACCTCATTTTTGTGGAAAGCTAGGCACTCTAGATGCCAGCGCCAGATTGTCCATCCTAAAAACTCGGCTTCACACTCCACCTCGGGACGTGGTGGTAACTACCATGGATCTGCCTACAGTTGTAGCGCGAACATGCTGGTACACAAGAACCTCTGTGGACACCTTCACACCACATCCGCAGAATCATCCGCCGCCCCTGCGACGGCTGAGTTCCATACAGCGACGTCTGAAATCTCTACATCCAACAACCCCCTGTTGCGTCTAACGCCCGTCCCAAAGGTAGACGAGAGGGGACGCGCATCTTGATCCACGCCTTCACCATCCACAAATAATTAACTAAGGCGAACACTGCTTCCAGCGCGTGCCGGGTAAGCTTCCAGTTCTGGTCACGACTAGCCAAACATACCCTCTTTTGGTACGGACCCGCAGAATCCTAATGTCTGATGCCGACGGGATTGTCTGATGCAGCACCTGCAGTCAACACCTGCCACAAGATTGAATACAGCACTTGCTGGGCAAGGTCAAGCCGCGTAAAAACAATCCAACCCTAAAAGGATAAGCCCAGGTATTCGCGTGCTCAAAGACCAACCCACTCCTGATCTGATATCGATCCTAAGCGCTACTGCCTGCGACGACCACTTTTGCTACAGAACAGTGTGACGCAAGAAGCTGGCCAAGCCACATGCAAACACCACAAACACCGCCGCCGTATCGATGTTGGGCTCTGGTTACATGGTCTTCCTCTTTTTCTTAGACTTGGAAGGGAACGCATCGCCGTAGTCCAAGTTCGGTGTTGTTTCCTGCATGGGGTATGACAGCGCGATGCCAAGCGATTGTGAGGATGCCGACACTTGGGTTGCAGAACACGTATCAATCCTGTATCAGCCCTGCGTGGACGCACGAGCTCCCACCAGCACACAACTACCCCCCACCGCACATTGAAGGATTATCTTCTAGGAACACTCGTCCCTACAAAACGGAGTATTGTTGAGTTGAGCATCAGCTTCATACTTTCGGAAACCGTGCTCATCTGCGCTACGTGGGATGGCGAAAAGTAGTGACTCCCATCCCAGCATACATAGAACGTGCTTGCAGTTGTGCCTGTGATTCCCAAAGTACCTCATTTAAGCGAAAGGTGCCGTCCCCTGCAAACAAAGTATACTACAACATTGGCTACCTTCGGGGCATCCACGTCAACGTAAGATACGAGGCTCCTGGGGTCCCTCGGTCCCGTCGGCTCCGGCATGCTGTCCACCCTCCCCATGCCTCGTCCTCCGAAACGCCCCCCGGGACCGCCTCTGCCGCGGAAACCTCCACCGCCCCTGCCTCTGAAGCCGCGCCCGGCTGAACCCATCATGGCATCTGCAAGCACAGGGGGGGGGGAGGGGCAACGAGTACCAGAAACCAAAATTAGTACGCTGACCAAGATGCCGAGACCTTTGAGACAGCTCACCAATATCCAAAAAAGGTACGGGCGTGAGCAATACAATCAATGTCGCATAAACACGCTTCACGGAGCTTAACAGCGAACAATGCCCACATGAAGACAGCAAACTGCGATCGCTTTGATGGCGCACGTATTTCTACAGTCTAAATTCAACCTATCATATGAGGCGCCACTCACCCGGCGGCATCGGCATCTGCATCGGAAAGTCGCCCATCCCGCCCATCTGACCCGGGACCATCGGCCCCATCATGCCCCCCATGCCCATCGGCATACCGCCGCCCATCATCGGGAACCCCGGAGCGCCCATAGGAGGCGGGCCCTGAGGCATGCCTCCAAGCGTCCCACCCATCGCCATTGCACCCGGCAAAAGCACCACGGGAGGAGTGTTCGCGTCCGCCACGATGTTAGGCAGGGGCTTGTTGTCATCTGCCATTAGCAACTCGCGCACGAAAGGGTCCGCCACCTGGGAGGGGGCGGAAAGGTTAACATGAACAAAATCAACCATAAGGCATGAAACCACGACACGACTGCGGTGAGAGGCACAGCGCTACCACTTGACCTCAAGACTAGTATCCCCCGAGCCACAGCCGTGCTTACAAATGCCCGAGCCGATTCATGGTTAGTACACGACGCCAACCTTTTCTCGCGAGCTTGCAGAATTACACCGAAATTCAACCGAGTGTCTTGCGAAAGTGTACTAGTATGAGAATAGGCCCAAAGCTTCACCTGATCGAGTACGAGCTTGTACTTCTCAGGATGTTTGTTGACCAGATGCTTGTGGACGAACTCCGGGGCCTTGAAGAGCTGCGAATATAGCAAGAACAAAGACAAACAGCTTCAAGAGTATACAGCGACGGGAGAACCGAATCTAGCGGTGCGTCTGCAGCAGGCTGTGAATATTCGATACTAATGCTTGGGCACAGCGACTTGTATGCCGGCCTACTCCGCCTGTACTCGATGCCACCGACCAGCCGGCATTCCCTCCGTTTCACTTTTGTCCTCACTGGAGACTACGTTTTCAACTACCCAACCACACACGGGCTTCATTTCATCACTCTATACGTTTACCCGAAGCGTGATCTGCAGTATGTGCCAACACAGGGTGTGGCCAAGCAACCCGTATACTTGGAGCGGCAGAGTTTGTCTAGGATGCGCGAACAAGCTTGCAGAGCGATGCTTAACACCAACAGCCCTTGCGAATAAGTGCGTCACCCTACCAACCATGCCCAACAGAAACCCTTCTGAATTCACCACTTGCCTTCCCACAGTTGGGCATTAAGCAGCGGGCGTAGCCTTCATCGGTGCGACCCGTGTTCATGGCTTGCCACTTTGTCACCTCCTGAGAGCATGGGGCAAGGAAGGCCCAGATCCAGCAGAGTCACAGAGAGAGAGCGAGATACAGACGCAAATGTCAATGGGAAAGATGCCCGCAGGGGCAGCTTGGGGCCAGGATTTCTCCGCACCTTACACATCCAACAAAAAGCGACATATCTAAACGCGACACGAGCGAATAGGCGGTAACATGCGTGGACAGAGTTATTTGCGCATGGTCTAACGTCTGCTGTTCCCGGTCGTCGGAAATAAATCCTGAGTGCATCAATCCGACACTGAACGCAGGTATGCTTCGCACCGCTTTGACGCGCTCATCGTAGCGCTCAACAAACGCCTGGTCTTTCTTGCGCGTCTCCTCTGCATTTTCCGCCTGCTTAATCCGGTCAGCGGAACGAGCGTCCACAAACTCTGTTCCGGATCCACGTCTGCTGGTCTGCCCCGTCTCGCCCTTGTCGGTCGAACCCACGCTTGCTTCCGCAACACCGTTTCCATTCGTGCCCTCCACGGCGTCCGCCTTGCTCATGGCCTGCAACACCGAACCACGCAGGTCGTACAAAAATGAGCTGTGGAGCCCTCCAATCACCACCGCTTGGTCACGCCTTGTGTTCGTGTTCTGCATCCTGCTGTCGCTGGTTGTCAGACGAAATACGCACAACGCTGTCGTTCGCGTTACCCAGCAGTATTCGATACTCTGCGGAGTAGCTCACAAGAAGCCACACCGATCCAACACGTTCGGGAAATCCAAACCACGTAGACATGTCAACCGTGACCATTCTTGTTGTTTCATCGGAATACGACTTGAAACACAATTTTCTAGCGGCCTGTGTGTGGAATATTTGGATCCATAAAAGCCAGCTACATTGGACAAAGCTATCACTACCGTTGGCTGCCTGCAAAAGACTCCTTAGTTTGAATCCACCGCCTAACCCTGAGTTCATATATACACTGGGTGAAACATCACTTGCCTCTTGAATTTCTTCCTTGGATGCTGCCGGAACACCGCGACCTGCTCCCCTTGAGGCGATCATGTCCCCCTCGTCCCTGCACTCCTGCCCCCGGTAGTACACGTAGAAATAGACACGCTTCATGTAAGCGCACACCAGATCTAGTTGGGCAGCCCCTGACGACGACGATGCAAGCGCAGCCTGGACCTGCATCAAACATGAAAACGCGCATGCGAAGATAGCAAAGGGTTGGAATGACGCCTCAAGCTGGGATCGCAGTAGCGGGGGCTCAGAAAGTTAATAGTTCACAACAAGCACCACGATGACGGCCGGTATACTGTTCATCGACGTGCTGCCTTCATATGCCAGCGTGTAGCAGGGGCAAGTGCGCATGTCCTACCGATACTGCATGCAGTAGTAGGGGTTGGCTGCCGGCCTTGAAGAGACATCGAGGACATCGAACACGTGAAATAGGACAACACGAACAACGAGCAAACGACTGCCTGTCGTACGCGATACTTTACCTGGAATGCCAGCACGATGCCATCACGTGTCTGCTGTGAAAAAAACAAACAATAGACGGGTGGAACCCTTGTGCACTCACCTCTGGCTCCGCGAGAAGCGCCGTGATGCCGTCGGTGCTTTCGGCCCGACGAAATTCCTCGTCAAGCGCCTTCGCAACCTTCAGGCTCTGCTTGCTGTCATGAGCGACACGGTTCGCCGTGGAGAAGTCGTGATCCACCGAGTTTTGGCTGCGCGGCTGGTAGGAAAACACCTTCAGCTCGAAGTACCTCCCGTCTCCGCTCTGCTTCTTGGCGATTTTGGCTGCCACCCACAAACACGGAATGCACTTGTTGTCACACACGACCCTCGACAACTAGGCAACAACTAGGCTAGACACATGAGCTACAGTGAGCCCATACCAACACCGGAATACATCACAAGTGTCCACAAAACGAGCACGTGAACAAACAGCAAATGACACAGTGCAGACATGGCAATCGTGACGACCTACACTTCCGGCACTCCATTGTTAGAGACCGGGTCACTCCTTTTTCCAGTCAGACTGTAAACCAGCTCTCACTTTTGGGCCTGGAATTTTGATAGATGCGCATCTTGTTCAGCTGCTGCACAGCCTTCGTCGCTTTCTCAGGCGTATCGTAGACAATGTACGCTGAGCGGGCGAAGTCGTCGTTGCGCGTGTTCGCCGCGTCCGAGCAAACAATGCGTTCGTGCTGGGGCGCCTCCTCAACAATCTGGATCACATGGAGGCAGGTCGACATTGTTGTAAACCGTAGCAAGGGCGCCTTTTCGGTGTTCTCGTGTCATGATGAAAAAGACAGGACAGCTCTCGGGTCGATCAGGTACCCCGTACGCATATGCGGCAAGCGATGGTTCCAAATCACACCGAGTCATTCCGTGTTTTGGTCACCCCACGTATTCTTGATTTCTTGATATGTGTCTCCACACCTTTCGGTACAATTTCTGGACGCACCAGCCGGGGTTACGCAGGAGGAGGGTCATACTGGAGATTTTTTCTTCGCCTTCCTTCGGCGGTGCTTTTGCCTACATTTTTATCGCGAGAAGGATTCAGCCGTTTCTATCCCTCGTCGATTTTTTCGAAGTCGATTTTTTCATACAACAAAATTACCGCATTCCACAGTGTTTGGGAATTTTGCGATAAAAAATGCGTGACTGTGCCAAGATTCAAACCCACGTCCCAAACGCCAGAGGGTTGCGAGGTTACCTACTGATCGCCCTGGCGCTGTTGAATGACCATGAAAGGACCTATATACCTGACGTCCAAGCTCGTCCGTCGACACCCACGCAGGGATCCGGCGAATGAAGGCCACCTTGTCGGAGTGTGCGGAAATGTCCTTCGCATCCACGTCGTAGTCGGCGTCGCCATCGTCTTTATCGTCCTGCTTTTGTATTTGGACGAGTATCACCAACACGTGTCAGCGCCGATTGGAACGAAACACACCATAGCGAAAAAACAGCGCGTTCAAGAGCTTCGCGTCCCCCACGTAACATTGTCAGCAATCACAAAATGTCACCTGAGGCGTTGTCTCGCCCGGTTGATCCAAGTCTTCTTCCATAGCGTCAACCGAAGCGTCCTCCCGACTCGAGTTGCGGGGGCGCTTCTTGCGTTTATCCATGCCACCCCAGCGCTGTTCCTGGAATAATCACCGAGTCGGAACCAGCCAGTCAGCGTCTGGGTATGTATGCACGGGTCATCTTATTGGCCGGCATAGGCACTTCCATACAAACCCTAAGGCATGCGGCCGCATTCAGTGTTTACCGACTGTTGTGCACTGCTGTGCCTGCCTGAAGCGTCAAACCAGGTGAGCCAAACTGTGCGACAGGCAGTAGCTCCTCGGCAAACGTCACACAAGAGGACATTATTTACAACAATAACATGAACCAATTGGGATTTACAGACACACAAGACAAGATGCACATACCTCGGAAATAGGATCAAGCGAAGCGCTGGCGACGAACAACCGCGGGTTGGCGCGTAGCTGCTCCCCGAAAACGGCCGACTCCTTGTCCACCCACTTCAGTTTGGCGTACCTCGTTGATTCAGCTCTCTTTGGGTGGTACCGTTCGAGGAACCATTCCTGGTCAAGGGCGAGAAAAGAAGAAGATATTTTCAACACCAAGGAAAAGGTTAAAGGTTTGCATGCACCCTGTGGCTACCTATTTGATCAATTGCGTCAGTGGTCAAGGGCGAGCTCCTGGAGTCAGCGACTCCCTACTACTTGTTCGGACTTACTTCTTTGCAGTGCACATCAATGAAGCTGTGTGTCAGTCGTTGCACGTAGTCGGCCTTGTACTCGTCGTAGCGCTGCTTGCATTCCTCTGGTGTCACATCGTCGCGCTGCTCCGCCATGAACGCCTGCGAATAGAACCAGGACATGAAATAGGACTCACCAGCGTCAAGCGAACGACAAGTGTCTGTCTATCGCGAACGTCTATCGCAAACAGGGATTGGGCTGATCGAAGGGCAGCCAGGCCACCGGCCATCGAGCGACTCGCGAAGCGGGAAACATTTGTTGGGACTTTCGGGCAACGTGAAAACAGTGGAATTCTGGACAATCTTCCTCCTTCACCTTGAACGAAATCATGGGCAAAATGTTGTACGTGCGAGTGTGCGGCCCTGGCAGCTTGGGCTGGGGCCGCTGAGTTGTCGTGAACACCATTTGCCCATGCCCACCACCCTGGGGAGGGAAGATGGGAGCCCCGGGCACGCCCATAGGCTGCATCATCGGCATATTTCCTCCCATCGGCTGCATCATTGGGCCGTTGTTCGATAGGCCTGGCATCATGGTAGCACGGTGTCACGGAGAAAGCGATGTTGGTCAAAATACGCAAGACCGCCAAGCAGCCAAAGAGCCACCGGCACAGAAAAAAACAACCCCAAAACAATAGCGACTACGCCTGCACTCCTCGCAGGCAACGGAATGGTACATTGGAACAGGAAACCAAGAGCTTACGACAGATTGTGCATTCTGCACATCACGACGGTACCACAAAGGTAGTGACACTAGACACTCCTGGGTACATGCGCGCACCTCTTCCTCTAAAAGGATCCCTGCCTCCGGCTCTCCCGCCATCCATTGGTGCAGTTTGACCACGGTCGCGTCTAAGCGTGACAACGGGCATGGGGGTGGGGAGGTGGGGGCGTACTTTTATGTTTTGCATGCCTTTTTGCGGTTAGACTATTGACCACGCGTCCTCGAGAGGACGGAGCATTGTTTCCACAGGACCGATCACCGATGGCCAATCGTTCCTTCCTACTTTGACAAGGGACATGGGGTAGGAAAAAGCAGGGTCGGCAGAAGCATGGCGTGCCCTCCTTATAGCAACATGAAGAGTTGGGATTCGAGATGTGCTACAAACAGTAGCCTGCGACACCATTCCGGGACACGGCGAGCTTACCTTCCCTGACCCTGGCCGCCCGATTGGCGAGCTCTGTCTCGCGTATTGTCAAAAGAGTCACGATCCCTACCCCTCGTCCGATCTCTCTCATCCCGACCCCAGTCCCTGTCACGAGAGGAGCCGCGGCCGCGGTCTCTCTCCCGAGAATGCTCACGGCCTCGGTCCCTGTCTCGAGCAGCATCACTTCCACGGTTCCTGTCTCGTGAGTCGTCGCGACCCCGCTCCCTGTTGTCTCGACCGATGGGATCTCTGTCTCTCCCTCTAGATCTGTCGTGCTCCCTGTCCCTGTCACCATCTCTCCTTCGGCCTCTGTCTCTAGAAGAATCTCCGTTCATCCCGCCGCCGGCTCGATCCCGACTCCTGCTTCTGCTTCTGCTCCTGCGAGGCCGATTGAAGCGTACATGCGGAGAAACTCGCGGTTTACACTCGCGTCGTGAACATTCCGGCTGCTAACCCAATGGTTACCCAAGGGTTGTCCAGCACACCGCGACAAGCACTGTCCCAGGAGGTTATTCGTGAGCATTCCAAACTTGTCTGGATTATCTCAGCCCAAACATCAAAGTGGTGCTTACGCTCTGCCAGGTCATGATCAGCGGTTCTTACCACCGCCACACAGCACCGGCTTGCCAACATGAGGCACGGCTTAGTACGTTTCGCCCAACTGACGTCGACTCCATTTTTATCCCCGGCAAAGGGGCCCACAAATGTCAACCGTTGAAGGAATATCGTCACATGGAATGTGATAAAAGGGCTTTTCGTATCGTTTCACAGTTACACCCAGATACCAGTGCACCGAAACCCAGGTCGGGGGGGAGGGGAGGGGGGAGGGGAGGGATGTACTCATGCAAACACTTGCCGTAGTCATTAGACCATTGAACTTGCATCCCTACAATTTCGCGACGGAGCGATTTGCCGGGTTTTCGCCGGCCCAGGCTACGCTGGCCATCATCCTTGCGTTTGCTGTGTCAAGCCAGATGCACCATGGGTTCATTGGGCACGCCGGCAAACCACACGTTTCACGTTCGACACGCACGACTTCACTTCCAAGTACCACACCGGACGTCAATCTTTGCGCGCTTGTACACAACAGGCACGCCACAAACACATCGAACGCGTCGCTTGGAGCAACGACACTCATCGCTCGGTTGTGAGTTCGAATAATAATAATTACGAAATGGAAAATTCCCCTTTGTAAAGTGAAAAGAGCGCAAGGTGAGATTCAAGCCTTGTCGCGTTCAAGATTGAAGGCAAGCACCGGAAGAGGAAAGGTGGGTAATTCTTCCTGTTGTGTGACTCCGGCTGGTGCGTCAAACATGAACCGATTAGTCTAGTGAGGACTGGCGCCAGAACGGACGGGAACAACAGGGGGGCGCGCGGGGGGGGTGTACTCATAGTCGTGCATGCCGTAGTCGTTAGACCATTGACCTCTAGGAGCGGGGGGGGGGGGGGCACCGCACACACGCCTGCTATGTACGAACCGGTTACTTGGCTCAGACGGGCTCAGGGTCTGTTTTAATGTTTAAAAGATACACCAAAACAGAGGCCCAGCAAAAACTAAGTTTGGGGGGGGTACTGGGGGCCAAAGAAGCTGATTGGCCAACAGGGAAAAACACGATGAGGCTTTCTCTGCCCTGAAAAGCGGGACTTCGATATTGGGTGCAGCAAAAAACAATTGCACATTTAATTGTTTTTGCTGAATCGAAGAACCGGAGTTGGACTGCGCCGCTTTTGCACCAATCACGATGAGCTGAACTCGTGTTGGCGTTACCCCTGAGTGGACCGCATGTGGCACATTGGCCGTGCGGCACCCACACGCATCGCCCACTGCCCGCTGCTGGGAAATAGCTGGATTGCAATTCTGTGAGCGTGTCCATTGTTCGCGGTAGTTGGGTTGCTGTGGAGGTTTCTTCATGTCAAAAACCAACATCCGGTTGTGTGCAGCGAGGCAGTCCAACCAAAAGTTGTAGAGCAAGCCTGCGGATAAGGCTCCTGCTGATGCGTAGCTTCGTGTGTGCTGATATATTTTTACAGCTCCCACGTGGTGCACATTGTCTATCGCTCTACCTGTTTGGTGACAACGTCATCTCGCGGCAGAGATTCCGCCGCATGTGGGTGTTGCTGAACCTCGATTGGCACTTGGGTATAGCAAAATTACGTTAAACGACGCAAGCCTTTTTGGCCAAAAACCCAACTAGGTCCACATCCAAATTGGTTGCTCAATATTTCGGCGCAACTTTAATGTTACAACAGGCCCTCAAGGGGGCTCCCGGTGTTCACAGAAGGATACAGCGTCTAAATTTCCGTAAGGTCGAACTCAGGCGGGGAGGGGGAGGGGGAGGGGGTGTGTGCGGCTATACTGAATTATAGATAATTTGATCAGGGGGGGCACATGGAAATACTGCCGCCACCGGGGGTGCGATGACATTCATCCTCCATGGGGCCAGGCATAGCATACAGCATACTAATTCCTACCATGTACAACCGACTTCGATGAGGGCAAACAAAAAGGGCGAGGAGGGGTAGCAGCTCGTCCTTGTGTACACTCCGTGGAAAGTCCTCTTGATTTGCTTCATGAAAAGCGCTATATTGTTGGTTGGGAGCTTGGGCAGTAGTCCCTGGATACCAGCAAGTTGCACGGCTGCGTGCGCCCCGTAGGGACTGCTGCTGTGTATCAACAAGTACTGCTGTAAGCCTGGATACGTGGGGTAATTTTGCGCAAGCACAACTCTTGGAAGTCCTGCAACGCAATTGTATTCCACGACTAGATTTCGTTGGTACGTTTCAGTTGTACATCGCGAAGATGAGAGAAACACTGGTAGTGTCGAGGAGCCTGAGAGAAACAGGGGCAAGGCTCCAGCAAAGAACTGAGACTGCTGTATCCGTTGTACAACAGCAGGGGCCTCACCTGCTTCTCCCTCGTCTGCCCCGTCTGCTCGGGGGCTCGTCGTCGTGACCGTTTTCGCTACCTTCGCGCCCGACGACCCTGCTGCCGCCAAAGTCGTCTGCAGCATCGATCACCTAATCAAACCATGCCGAGCACCATCAACAAAGAAAAAGTACTTTAGTATGTAGTTAGGTGGGTACAGCCGAGACGGTGATGGGGGTACATAGACTATACCGCCGCGTATCCGTTCGCGTTTTGACCTGTGACCGCCGTTCATCCCGTCTTGCGCGTCGGATGTTTGCTGACTTAACTTGGAATCTGTACAGGAGGCCAAGCTCACCTCATCCACAACAGTCTCATCACCAGCCGCGACGCCATTGGTCCCCTCTGCTGCATCCAGCGTCGCCGGTACTCCCGGTACGTCGTCGCCATCGGCGGCTGTTGCTGATACTGCAGCTGCTGCTGCGCGCGTCTGCTGTTCGTGTGAGTCTACCACCACCTCGGAATGAACGTCTGCCTTCGACTCGCCCATCTGAATAACATTTGCCATACTCCTGGACAAACAGGAAACAGGTTGAGGATGTGGGATCCGGTGCTTGGAGAATGGGGCACTAGACAGGGGGAGAGGCGCAAGACCCACACACATAGGCAGCCGCCAAGCCAAGAGGGCTCGCGGAGTCAAATTATGGACGCTGCCACCCCCCCCCATTTTTCGGGCGCTATAATAATCCAGTTTGTTCGTTTCTTTGTTTATTACATCTCGGCATTTCCTCGAATTATGCTCTTTTGCCGGGCCGATTATTTATGCCCCCAAATATGCCAAAAACTGCCAAATATGTGCCCCTTTTCTGGCCAATTATGCGACTTTCCCCCGAGATTTCAATATGCTTTTATGCTTTTTGACGTCCGAGCAGAATGGGGCAAGCCCTACTAAATAGGATCTCGACCAGTCTCGACCTCGGACCCACTTTCAGGCCACATCACACAAAATACTGTAGATACGGTGAGAGATATCAGCTTATAAGAGATATGGCCGAGCTCGGGGACTTCCTTGTAGGGGGCTCGGAAAAGCTGAAGGTGAGTTTACAAAACGTAGCTGGCCTTCGCGTCGTTGGGACGAACCCCGAAAGCTACAGCAGGCTGAGATACAACAAACGGCCGTTGGTAGATCCATGGGATCCTACTTGTATGATATGCATGTGGCAAAGCAGGCTGCCCACCCGAGAGACTCCTCCAGATGTGTCGAAATGTTCGTCATGGAGATTCAGTGATGCCTGCCGATTGCTGGACGCTGACAGCACGTAGAGTATCACGCTGCCGACTGTTCAGCGACGGCGGCCTAAAAAAAACGCTATATTAGTCTAGACTGCTGCACCAGAGATTTCGTACTCTATTCCAAAATCTGCTGGGCTAATCGAGAACAGCTCCACAGGGGACGCTCTCCGGCACGTTTTTGGTACCTAATCTCATCCCCGACACTAACGCATTATTTGCAGAGTCTCCATGGACTGCTCGCCGGAAATGCAATGCTGAACAATTCATTCGCAGATCTTGTTGAGGAATGGACCAACCTTTGGTCGAGAATATGTATAGACTAATCACCTAGACTATGTATCAATCTAAACTCTGCCCATGCCCGCTCCCCGCTGTTTCCTTCGGCAATGACAGGACGTAACGATAGAAATGTTAGACTATGATTTTCTTGACAAGTGCACCGATCCCGGCTTGATCCGCGCCATCGCGCGTAAGCTCAAGTCTGGGGAAGAAGGACACTATCCAGATCTTGTCAAGGTGCGCGGGATAAATCGTGTTGCTGTATTTACAGATAGGCCACGTGCAACCATCTCTGTGTACGTGCAATGTTGAACAACAGCGGCATGCTTGTAGATGTACGCCGTGGTCTCGCCAACACACAACTGCTTCATTGCATCATTCTGTAGCACACGGGGTACGTACATGTAGCTGGCCCGCGTGCATCGGTGTCAAATCTGGACGCGATGTTGTTCCTGCGAGCTACAGCAGTTCTTGAATTGGCATCCCCCGCGTGGTACGGCACGTTTCCATCAGCCCGCTTCACCATAACGACGATTTTCTTTTCCTGTCTTGGGGTATGGTGCATGTTCGAAGCATGCGGAGACTCGCTTGCTGGAAGAGCTCCCACAGGCTGAGCGCTCTAAAATACTCCGGATGAAAGCGGAGCCCCAGCCCGACGAAATACATGAGGTGCGTACTCTACACCACCTTGGTATTGCGACCGAGGGTATGTAGCCCTCAACCATGGTTCTGTTTATTGGTCCCATGCCTAGTGCTGCTGGACAAGTAAGGCTGAACCGGTAAAGTCGTGTATTAGGTTGACCTCTTAGACAAGCAACAGGAGAGAGTGGACTCACTCCACGTGCATCACAGGCACCACGGCACTCCAGCGAACAGTCACAAGAAATTCACCGTCGGACAGACGCCTCCACAACTCAGAACACGGAACAATTTCAACTGGCCAAAGATACGTCGGGAGATACCCCGAAGATCCACGTCCGTGGAACGGACGCATGAGTATTACCGCAGTAGCCTTCGCAAGGATGACATAATCCACCTCACGAACAGGTTCTAGGTGGGGGTATTTCAAATACTTCAAGTACAAGAACCGCAGTGCCGGCCTTGGATTCACGTTTCTCCTTCTAGAGTTCCAAGACAATGTTTTGTTGCAGAGGCCATGCTCACGAAAATACTGCATTCGCGCCGGCATACAAAGATTAAGATTTGCTTCGCACATGTGTCTTTGCACGACTTTTGGATATGTGGTGTTTGTTTATCAGATGTTGCATGCCACCAGAAGTTATTGACCTTCATCACGCACATCAACTATTGAACGGACAGATTTCCATCCATCTTTAAGCAGGCCATCAGCGACCTACATGGCTGGGAGGAGGAAATGGCCAGAGTACCTGCCAGGCCCAAAGAGAACAACAGTGAGGAAGCGCATGCTCCGATATGGACTAGCAACGCCACAGCACAGACACACAGTACCAAAACGGTGAGTTGTGTGAGAACGATGTTGTCGTGCATTCCGGGTAGTTGTTACCTCCGCATCCCAACCTCTTCCTCGGAATTTTGGTGCACGCCCATCAGACAGCAGCACACAGCGTCAATTTGCTGTATCAGTCCGTCCGGGGCAAAAACAATCACCGTTCTCGGTAGGGTTGAGCATAACAACCCGGGGACCCGTTCTTCGCCAGCAGATAGAACCTCCTATGCTGGATGCGAGACGCGGAAGTGATGATGGTGGCTTGGCACGTTCTACCGGACTTGCCATCGAGCAGAACAGGACGAAGAAACTAAACGCATACGACTTCAGGTAAGAACATTCACTTTTCCGTAAGGCTGAATTAGTTCCGCGAACAAGTACGATGCATACCGAAGACCGTTTGCTACTATGCCGCGGTGATACTACAGGGCATGGGAACGCTACGACGCTGATAAAGAAATCGAAAGGCTGGAGAAAGAAGAACTTGAAGAACAGCGGCACAAGACTGAGGTAACGTCATGGCGTACTTGCATACACGTGCAGTGATAGCAGGAAAATATATCAATTGTTTTTTCATTGCTCCATTTTGCAGCTGTTACTTGCACTTTCCTACCCTATGACCCAGTCTCCCTTGTCGAAGAGCTCCGACCCTGGGTTTACCAGAAAAATCCCTCCATGCTTCCTTCAATATTGAACCTAGTAAGGTTCGGCCATCCTTCTCTCGACTACATACCTCTCCCGGATTGGTTTAGCCTCTCAATAGTCTTCGAGGTTGCGGTATCATAAGCTACCGGGGCGACCAGTCTCCTCGTAGATGATGATGTATGCTGCCTTGGTCGAACGTTCAGCACGTGTGGTCATGACTTGGCAAAGGACACGCACGAGTCTGCTCACAACGTATCCAATAACAGGCAAGAGTTGAAGCAAAAGTCACAGTTGAGCAAGACCGACTGAGACGAGCCACGAAAAGAGAAGATCAACTCCGCGAGGCAGGAAAAGCCCGGTACCAGGGAAACCTCTCGCCGTTCGAAAAAAAGCGTGCAGCGGAAAGGGAACGCATCAAGGGCAACGAGTCTTTCAAGGTCAGGGGTATGCACCTGTTCGTTCAACCTCTATTCTGGGAGCATTTCAGTTACCCTGCAGCGTAGGTGAAAATATTTCGGGCTACAAAGTAGATTTTTTAGATGTTTACCCAAGCAAGAATTTATCTCTATGCAGAGAGACGTCTCTAACCTTGCTGTTTGTGTGCCCGCTTTGTTGAAAGGTTGTGGCCACGTCCATACACCACACTAGCCATTAAGTTGATGAGCGTGTCAAAAGGTTTCCAACTCCCGTGCCGATTGTTTTGAACTAAACAACTCTCGCCGCTATCATGTCTTAGGTCAAGGAGTACGACGAGGCATTCCGATGTTACACGTGCTCTCTCGCACTAGACGATTCGAACCCCAGGGTGTACAACAATAGGGCCGCGACCGCACATCACATGGAACGATTTGATCAAGCAGAGGAGGACTGCACAAGGTCAGGGCGAGGATATCGTGCTGTCTCTTTCTCTGCTCGAGCCGACTAGGTACGGGTGAATGCCAAGATCCGTATGTATTCAGAGTAATCGCCTTTTAGAACGTCCACGTCAGTTGGACCGGTACGGACGTTAAAAGCTGCTGAGCAGAGACGGAATGATTGTTGGTACCTTTGTTTGTTCGAACATATGCGCGTGCCATAGGGCTATTTCTCTGGACCCCACCTTCAAGAAAGCCTGGATGCGGCGGGGAATGGTACGCCACAGCCGTGGGAAGTACGCGGGCTCCGTAGCTGACTTCACGGAGGCTCTCCTTTTGGATCCAAACGACAAGCACGCCAAGAAGCTCCTGGAGCACAGCGCTGCGAAAGAACGGGAGGTATGCTGACAACCCCCTCTTCATTGAGCAGACGCATTTTGTATTCGCGTGGTTGTAAGGATACAGCAGTCAAGACCCAAAGAACTTTGAACAGTTTTCTCGAGCGTCCTTGTAGTGCCGCCCTGCTTCCCTTCAAGATCCTGGTGTTTTGGGCTGCCTCGCTTCGATCTCGACAGAATGTTTCGCTATGCACATACATCCAACTTCGAAGGTGGAAGGAGAAGCTGCTGGACAAATGCAAGCAAAGTTTAAAAAGCCAGGGCGAATCTTCATCGAGGAAGTAGACACGCTACAGGTAAGCCCTCGTTTGTACGTTTCATCGAGCTTCTATGAGTGGCGAAACAAATGAACCACGCACCGCGAGGACTTATGCACAGACTCGGGAGAAGCAGCTGGTGTACGAATCGCGCAAGGAGATGTACAATCGTTGAACTATTGTGTTTCGAGGTTAACAGATCTTATTTTCTTTGTTGACAAGTTTGCTGCCGTGCACCTACGTGACGACCGGTTTAATGCTCGCGTCTCTGGCTCATTGTTCTAGGAGGAGGATGGGGAACACTCAATGGTGTGCATTCCTACAACAAGTGCGGCCATAGCTCCTCCTACTCCCGGAAACCAGAAGACCCTGATTGCCCATGGCTGGATGGAAGTCGAATGAGAAAGCCTATTTTACTTTCTTTCGGTTGTGCGAATACCAATCTACCCACCTCGGTGTGAGGATGCGAAACGATTCAGGATGTGGGGCGCCCACATTTGGCCACTGTTGGCTAGGTACCTTTAATACGACGAACTTTCGGTCGATGCGAGCGAATCAAATGGGTAGCAGCTTCCATCAAATGTACCCGAACGTACAACAGAACTAGACCAGGGTGATACTCTTTGGCTAGATGTGTTGCCTATCCAGTGTCTTGCTTGTGCTTTTCATGCACGCGTTCGACTAATGCCTCCGCTTCTTCGTATCGGCTTGAAAAGTACACACTCCAAATACCCCACAGGTGTTTTGGCGTGATTTCGTTTTACTTCTACATGTAGTACACAAGTGTTCAGGTGGCAAACTTGTTCATAAGGTGTCCCGCTCGTGAGCAGCACCTTTTGTGATCGAGGCTCGAAACCTTGTAGGCTCGACCGACGGTGTCGCGTTCGCCATCGAGAGCAATGCGCAATGTGACCGTGCTGTCCAACGCTTAGCTTACGCCAACAATCCGTATTTGGTTCTTACTCCGTTCGTGTCTTGTCTACTTGCAGTTGTATCATGGCTCGTGTGGCCTTAAGAAGGAAGAAGCGACGTGCTTCACTTCTTGTTGGCTCGGGGAAGTTTCTTTTTCCCCACATGTTCAACCAGCTAAACAAGCCCTCGTGTTGGTAGATTGGCTCAGCGGTTACGGCGAAAGGTTCGACGGGATGCGGATTGGAACTGATTTGCGACCGAAGTCTTACACATGGACGATTGGCCGCCGTTAAAGAAGCATGCACACAATACGCTGACGTCCGCATCAGGTTGCGGGCAGGGAACTTAAAGCAGTATGTCGTGCGGGTGCAAGAAACAACTATGCGTATCACGATGGCGTGGATGTTGTAATACTTACAAGAGGAGGGAAATACCTGCACCACGCTATAGTGTATAATCTCTAACTCTAAATTTTAGAATAAATTGCAGGAGCGGAAGAGAACCGCTGTCTCAAGTACTCGCCAGGTTCCCAAGCCGCCTGGGGATGGCCCCAGCGACTGATCCTGCGAGGTTCAACAGGTTGATGCAGCGCTTATGAGGTTCGCTAATATTGTGTCGGGACGGTAACTCAGAACCATACCTTCCACTGCTTCCATCTTGAGCGCCCACCGCCCAATTTTTGCATAATAGTAGGAGAAATGGTTTCGACATTACTGAGCGCTATCACCTCCGAGGTCCTCACAAGTATTTGTCCGTCAACTGTACTGCTGGTGTAGTTGCGGATTCGTCGCGAAACTCACGAAGCGCGTTTTAGCCGGTGTTGACTTAGACTTTGGAAGAGTGGTGGATGTTCGAGATACGTAGGTCGATCTCCGAAAAGGTCGAGGGATACATCATATTTTCAGCGTTGACATCTGCTCTTGGAGTAGAATCACCAATTCCTGAGGAGAACTGTGGACGTCGGTTCCCTACGGATGACACAACAATTTCCGCAATTGCCTGCGGTCTCACGGAGGAACGGGGGGGGGGGCGTACTCCTATGTTTTGCATGCCTTAGCGGTTAGACCATTGACCACGCGCCGTCGGGGGACGGAGCATAGTTCCCGTCCCACAGGACCGATCACCGATAGCAGCTACCGTCCTCTCCTGCCTATACCATTGTTGTTGTTGTTGTGTTGTTGCTGTTGGTGTTGTCCTCACATTAAAAACCGTTCCGGTCTCCGCTCAGTACCTTCTAATGTCCGTATACTACTGGTCCAACTGACGCGGACGCCTTCCGTGGTCACAAACCAACTACACCCCAAAAGAGGATATACCTTCTAGAAAATAAGAAGAAAAAAATGGACCCCAGAAGAGTCTTGCAGGGCGCGATTGGTTTCTACCCAAACGAAACCAACAACTAACCAGGATACAGACGATCGACCCCGGGTCAAAAGAACGAGAGAACGAAAGAAAAAGAACTAGAGAAAGACAAAGGAAACAGCAAGAACGGAAGATAGACAGGTCCCAACGCTCCAGTCCACCGGAATAACGAAATAGGCAAAAACTAACGCGACACCAAACCGATGAATGACGGTTACAACGACAACAACATCTCTTCGGGGGTATTCCTGCTATCGCCTCCATCATCGTCAGTCCGGAACACATCTCTCTATCCGTTCTGCCATCTCCGTCCTACTCTCTTCGGCTGCAGTCGTGTCTTCTGTCTTTCGACGTCCCCCCCCTTGTGTTCCCTTCCCCCCTGCGCTGCTGTCATTTTGGCCTTCTGTCCGATGCTTTTCTTGTTCCGCTCCTCCGCTCGTAGTATGCTTAGTTTTTCTTGCTTCTTGTGTCATTTGACCGTGAACTTCTCCGCTCCCTCCATCACCCCTTTGTACCACGGCACCCCTTTCTCCACCTTCGCTGCGATAGGCCGGCCGTCACGCAGTATTCCGAACGTCCTCAGGTTGTCATCCGTGGATTCGGCATTGGCACTGAACTCTACGAAGTCGTCCTTCAAGCATGACACTCATTTCTTATCCGGGCGCCCGCTGCCTGGGTCCTTCCCCCCCACGATATCTCCGAACATCAATCGCTTCGGGAGTCGCCCGGTTGTCTGGCCAATTCTCTAGCAAAGAGTAAATCGCCATATTCGAACAGTAGCCTCCACGCTTTGGCATCTGATCTTTGTCAGGGCTTGGGCGTACGAGAACTGCCGATAATGGCCGCGCGTGCGGCGGTAGCCGATAACCCGTAGCAGGACGGTAGTACGTACTCATCAGCAGGTCGTGGTGCTTGCGGCGCGGGGCCGACGAGATGCATCCGATACAGCAAGGCCTCCATCGCTTCCGCTTTTAGAGCCGGATCTTTAGTCCCCACGGTGCTGTCGGTCTGTCGAAGAGCTCCCGGGCGTACTTCCAGAGACACGCCCACGCTGCTCTGCTCGTCGGTTGATCTCTTGTGTGAGTTCAGCATCTCCTCTGACCCGACTACCCAGATACCGGAACTCCGCTGTCTGGGCGTACTTCTGTCCCGCTGCTTCAATCACCAGCGGTGCCGTAGGTGGTGGGTGTGGCGGTAGGGGCGCTCCCTTCTTCGGTTTCTTCTCCGGCACCTTCATCAGGAGAGTATCTTCCTTCTTCTCCGACACTGCTGTCAGTCCGAAAGCTCCAAACACTTCGACGATAATGGTCATAATCCTCGCCAGGCCTTCGACCGATCTCGATACAAACCCAGCGTCGTTGGCGCACAGCATACCCCACACCGCCTTCCAGACTCGTTCCAGCGGTGTCGTTGCCCTCGTCCCAGTCTCCTCCTCAAGGTTACCAGGTCCCTGAGGATAACGTCGTCTTCGCTAATCGTGCCAGAACTACCTCAAGCGCTGCCGCGAAATCAGCTGTGGAGACAGTACACATCCTCGTCGCAGTCCCTGGGTTACCTCGAACCATTCCGAGAGCCCTCCGTCGTCCATGCGTACCCGAGCTTGACTGCCGTCGTGGAACTGACGGATGACCGCGATCATATCCTCCGGGACCCCCGCTCGGGCCAGCACCCGCCACAGCAGCTCCCGGTCTACTGAGTCATAAACCTTCTGGTGGTCGACGAAGCACATGTACAGCGGTTACTCCGTCTCCGTGCCAGCTCCTGCAGTCGTCATACGACGAACACCATGATGACGGTGGACCTGCCAGGTCGGAAGCCGCACTGCTCTTCCGGTAAGATGTCATGTTTCTTGCAGTAGTCACCGAGACGGTTAGCGACGATTTTCAGGAACACCTTGCTCGCGTGCGACAGAAGGGATATCCACCTGTAGTTGCTACAGTCGGATCGGTTCGACTTCTTGCAGAGTACCTTGATGGTGGTGTCGCTCCATTCCTGCGGGACCTCACTCCCGTTCCACACGTCGACGAGGATGGCGTGGAAGCGTTCGATCACGATGGGTTCATTTACGTCGTCAGTGTTGAGTAGTTCTACCGGCAGGGAATCGTGACCACACGCTTTCCAGTTTTTCATCTCCCGTGCTGCTCTCCGAGTCTCCTCCAGGGTTGGTGCGGACCCTAGGTGTTGCGAGCCTTCAGTGATTGTCACCTTCGGTCGTTGCTTTACCTCCCCGATGATGGACGGGTTCAACGTGAGGGATTTAGCTAGAGAGCCGAAGAATTGCCCACCGTTGGAGAGTCTCATTCTTGCTCCTCAGCACGACACCATTCTTATCTCTCACTGGCTGTTATTCCCATGTCTGCTTCCCATTTACGCCTACCGAGCTCTTGAGGTGTTAGTACAGTCCCCGCATGTCGCGATCCTCGAGGATGGATTCCATCCTCGCCAAATACTTCTAGGTGGGCATAAATGCCGTCATCGACTGCTGCACGTGCTGCCTTACAAGCGGCCCGGAGTGCTTTCCATGTTGCTGGATTTCGGTCGGTTTTCATCTCCCGGCGTGCCTTCCTTCGCTCGGCAAGAGCTGCCTCGACTGCTGTTCTCGTTTCCGGGCTCTGGCACCACTCTGCCATACCACGTGGTTATGTACATAATCCGGGTCTATACCGGCAGCACTGACTGCGCTGCTTCAAGGATAGCTTGGGTGAATTCCCTCGCGGCGTCCGGGGGCGCTCACGTTGGGCTGGTCTGTTAGCTGGTCAAGGTTTTGGAGGAACTGATCGACCACCTTGTCCCTCTGTGCTTCCTCCTGCTTCAAAAACATATCCCGGTATGCGAATCTTCATCTAACTTTTCCCACAGCTCAGTCATGTACACTCCCTCTCCTTATTTATTCTCGTGGCCCCGTGTAACAGCAGCGGGCTTTTGACGATGCAGTCGTCCATGAATAGGAATTAGAAGAGCACAGCACCCAGCACAAGCAGAAAGGTTGTGGTGTTGATATGCGACGTAGCAGTATACGTTGCGGCGTTGCGGCGGAGGCGCCCGGCGGAGGCGGAGGGAATGGCGGAACCAATGACGAACCCAAACCAGGTTCGGATGAAACGTAACCGGTGCATCCGATCACCTGCCAATCACCAGTCACCAATCATCAATCACCATTCGAACTGGTGATCGGACGATCGGAAGTTGGTTCTTGTGTGTGTCCTACCGTCGTGAGCTGCTCCGTGTCTCTGCTCTGCTGAGGATCACTGGTTGTTGTGTTTTGTCATACTGCGCACGCACCGCACACCCCATACGGCTCGTGCTTTCCTTTTCTGTGGGTGGGTGCTTGGAGGGTTTGTCGAGGTATAGACAAGTGGCAGGGACACGGACGGTGACAGAATGCGAGGTAAGACCCCATATTTTTTTGTCCTCTTGAACATACAGCAGCCGCAGTGTAGGTAAGATTATTGATGGCCGTGTAAGATTCTTGAACTCATCTCAAGTAATTCCATCTTCCGCCTCCACTATACCTGTCCGTAGACGTGTGAACCCTTACTGATCCCCCAAGGTGTGCTTATCGATATTTCGTCAGCGAGCATGGGATTCATCAACCTCAGCGATATCTGCCCACCGCGTACAGCGGCTGCTGTAGCATAATTAGCCCAGCCTCCACTCTACTACTACGGAGGCCAGACCGCAACTTGTGGCCACCTCCTAGTAAGTGACCCGGTGACCCCACCATCGACGAAAGGGGACCGAAAATACGTTAACGGGGGTTATTTTCGGAGTACTACTAGGGTGCCCTTTCCCCAGCGCACATGTCAGTACCAACCGCGAGGCAGACAGTGGGAGTTTGTCGGATCTTCATGTTCACGGCGATGCGAGTGATTACGGTGAAATGTGGGGCCGCCGCGGTATGCACGATATGAGGCATGCGGCGGTAGACCTCTAGCTTACATGAACGTCTTCGTGATCCGGGATGTCGTCGAGTCTCTGTAAGGTATTTCGCGCATTTGTTTGTTGCGTTACCCGCTAAGGAGCTAGGATTAGGGTTGTAGGGGTAGGGTTATCACCCTGTTAGATGATGTACCTGTATAGAGCTGTCTGTTTTGGTTGAACTTACGTAGTGTGAGACCCCCTCCAAGCCCTGTCGCCAACAATCGCGCTGCTCTTAACGAAGTACCAATACTTCGTACATAGAGATTCTAAGGTTCCCCTCGGGGGAGTGGGTCCCAGCTCCCAGGCCACACCAACGAGATAACCAAGAAACGTATGTGCAAACAACTTCTGCAGATGACCCATGATGAACAATATTGTGCCGTGTACCAACTAGTCTACACGAACAGTGTATCCGGTGATGGATGTGAGGGAGGCGGGCAAAAGCATGACATAACATAACAGCGGGGCGTGACGGCGTGCTGCTCTACTTTTTTTGGTGTTCCCCTTGACAGACGACTTGAGTGTGGTATGCATTTCAAGTATCGTGTCTAACTAGCAAATGCAGCAGCACCAGATGAACAAGGATCAAAGGACTAGAACTCCATGGAAACAATGGAACACCCGCCGAGGATGATGTGCTGACTAACATGTAACGCGACAGGCCCGTGGCTTCAGCTTTCAGGAGTCGGATCAAATAAACCTCTCCTGTGCTACTGGCTCTGTTGACGCTTTTTCCCCCCTGAAGGAAACAGAATATATGATGTGTGCTCTGTGGAAGCAATAGGAAGCCCGCCAAGCATCAGTTGTTGCCGAAGAAGACAAGACACGACAACACCGAAGGTTCATGCGGTGCCTTTTACGGCTGTGCGGTGCTGCTACAACTGTGCCTGCTCCTCATGGTGATGACCCTCACACCCACTCCTTCGAATTTTCAGAGAGAGGCGCTCACACACCTGCCTGTGCCCACCCACGCCCGCCCAGGACAGCTGCGTACACGTTTTTCGGGCAGTGACATCTCGATCACCCGAACAATCTAGACGAAGGACCAACAGTCCAATAGGTGGGGGGGGTGTACGTACTCATAGTCGTGCATGCCGTAGTCGTTAGACCATTGACCTCGCGTCCCCACAACGCCGGGACGGAGCACGCCGGGTTCTCACCGGACCAGGCTCTCACATCACCAAGCACGAAGCACAGTGAGGTATTCGGCGAGTCGCATAAAGGGTGCGCTGCATCCTGCTAAGGGTGTTCGGCATCTTGTGTTTTTTTCCTTGCATACGGATGACAGCTGCGTATTTTATTTTCTGGTGCTTTCACTTACAGAGACAGTTGTAAGCACATTGAAACTGCCTTGAGGGTGCTTGACCAATTTAACACAACGTGGTGCGATTATCCCCTTTGCGCGGAGTGAGGGTTCTCGACCCCGCACAACATGATTTACTCAACCACCATTCATGGCTACCGCAAAAACAAAACAAAGGCAAAAAAAAAGTAAAGCGGTAACCTGGTGAGCTCACGAAGCGATCGGCTTGTTTTACAACATCGCTGCCATGCGTCGAAAATCCAACCCCGACCTAAAAGACCGGGGGCACAACGTCGTTGCCAAGCGACGAAAACCC